GTCAGTGGGTAAAGCGATCCAAATTCCAATGGTAACACTATATAACATAGTCAAGAAGAATCTCCATCTGGAAAGGAGGCCAACAGAGTATGGGTTCACGAAGATAAGACTTACAGTCATACCTCTTGTTTAACTATAACATATATCCAAAAGTTGGAGAATAAAATGGATATTCATGCTATTTCGTATGAAGACATGTTGATTGAGTCAGTGGATACAGTACTATGATTGTACCACTGAAATGAGTTCTGGGAAACCATTGTCCTCATACACTAGATGGATTATGGAAAGCCCAAGTGGATGACTGATGTGACTTGGATGTGATATCTCTACAACTGAGCCTTTTCCAACAGGAACTACACTACAGAGCTGTTGTCAAGATGCATGGTTGTCAGATAGGATATGACTGGACATGGCATCATGGACTGTAAAGATGTGGGAGGCTGTACAATGATTTTAATATAACTTATTCAATCTGTGTAGTAAGCAAGAGCATTTTGAGGTAAAACTGAAATTAAAGGATGTGGCAGTTGAATGTTGCTTTATGATATGGTTGTCTAATTAATTATAGTATAATTTAATTAATTTTAATTTGTACATAACTTTCTTTCGAATTTGTTATCAATTATTCAAAAAAATTTTGAAATTTTGATTATGTAATTTTACATCCACGTTATGATCTCGATAGTTATAAAGCACGAGTGTTAAATTTAGTATTGTTAGAAGCAATAGTTTTGCCCAGTTTGCTTACATAACTGTTTATGAATTATTGGTTGTGTAGTTCAGTTGTTGTGAATTGATATCATGTTACTCAAGTCTTCTGAATTTTTCTTGTTGCCTGAAGTGAGTATTGTTACATCATAATGCCTCTTAGTTTGTAGAAAGTTCTAGACTTCAGTTGGGCAATATATATATAGGCGACCAAGTTAAGTAAGTTAGTGAAAGTATGACAAAGTTAGTGAGATATATAGTTTGAAAGTTTAGCCATAAAGAGTGTATAGTGGCGACCAATATTTTTTTACAATCAAAATATAGTTTTTTATATAACTATTGTAAGCTATATTTTTATGCTGTAATTTAGTTGTTTTCTATAATAGGTAGAAAGTTCATGGTGGTGTAATATTCTAGGTATTTTAAGGAAGTTAGAGTAATGACAATACATTATAAAAATGAATAATCATTGTGTGAAGATTCAATGAGAATTCAGTGAATGATTCAGTTCAGTGTTTATAGTTAAATGATTGATTTGAAAAGAAATTCTGTAAGTAATTTCTAAGTTAGGTGTACCATTAGTTTCAAAATGTCTGTTCGAACATTGTTTGTGAACTTAGGCCTATAACTATGTCAAAGTGGAATCTGTAGCAAATGTTATTGAAGAAATTTGTTATTGTTATATGGACTGAACTTGACATTATTTTTACCAAATAATCCATAAGAACGTGTTTAACAATAGAAAATGCTACAAGACTGGTGTTAAAAGTGGAATTATTTTGATGAAAATATAAAGAACTTTGACTAAATTTTGTCTTCGAAGATGACTACATAGGCATAAAGAAAATAAGAAACAATAAGGACAATAGAAAGAAAAACAAATAGAAAGATACAGAACATTAAAAGAAGATGTAGAAGAAAGAGAGAGAAGAAAAAGACAGAAAATTGAAAGATCAAGAAGAAATTTATAGAAAATTACAAGATCAAAAAGTAAAAAGATGAGAATTTGAGGTAAGAGTTAAAAGAAAGTGGAATAACATCTAAAGAATAATTAAGAACAAAAATAAATGTGATAGAAGGCAAGATCAGTGAAGCTATTGTAGATGTGCAAGGGAGAATTACAACAATAAGACTGAAGTACAGAGAGGTTGTAATAACAAAATTGTAAAAGAACAGAAAGATTATAACAGCAAGATCACTGAGGTAGAAAACAACATCAGTGACAGAATAAAACATTTGGAAAATAATTTGGTAACTGCAAAGATCAAACCAGCTACCTCTTTTTGTATCCACCCAAGATTTCAAACGTAAATCACCATTTATTAGGACATGTTTAATGGAAGAACCTATTTGGTATACTCCTGTTACCACTATTGTTGTTTCATCTGTGACTGAAGGACATTCATGGACTACTTCAGCTATGTAACCATGAAATCCAGTTCCAGAATTCAGCTGGCAAGTTCAACAATATCAGACAACTGAGAAAACAACAGACTATGATGGAAAGGAATCATTTGAGGTTCAATTCAAAATAATTTCCAGGTTGAAAGGGTGGAAAAGTGAACAACAAGCTATTCATCTTATTGCCCACTTAAAAGAACCAACTTTAACAACATTAAGTAAACTTCCAGCCAACAGCTGTAACAACTATCAAGTACTGATGTCTACTTTATTCAATAAATTCAGAACAGGATACAGAGGAAAAAGAGGACAACATTTGCTTTTTTGGTTATAAACATGTTCATCATTTAAGGACGTATGATTAGATAACTGCCTTGAAAGCTGTGGAAAGATGGGAGGGCTTCTCTGATAGGTTTGACAAATGTATTGATATCAAATCAAGAAGGGAGAAGGTTCAAATTTTGTATTCCTGCTTGTCATTATATATATATATGTAGTTTGTGCTTCTAATTTGGACACTCTAAAAGTCATATTAGGGAAGATATAAAATCTATAGGGAAGAATGCAGAGCACATACATATCACATAATGTTATGACTGAGAATTTTTAAATATTTCATGAACACAGAGCACATACATATCACATGATGTGATGACTGAGAATTTTTAAATATTTCCTGAACACAGAGCACATACATATCACATAATGTTATGACTGAGAATTTTTAAATATTTCCTGAATGCAGAGCACAGACATATCACATGATGTGATGACTGAGAATTTTTAAATATTTCCTGAATACAGAGCACAGACATATCACATGATGTGATGACTGAGAATTTTTAAATATTTCCTGAACACAGAGCACAGACATATCACATGATGTGATGACTGAGAATTTTTAAATATTTCCTGAATGCAGAGCACAGACATATCACATGATGTGATGACTGAGAATTTTTAAACATTTCTTTTTAAAATCAAAATTTGTATAATATAAAAATTTTAATTATAAATTATGTTTTGATGATGAGCTTATTGACATACATTGATAATAAAGTTGCTAATGAAATATTGAATGTAACTGTAACTTAAAGCAGTGTGCATAAGGTTAAGACCTAATACCATATGTAGTAATTACCGATGTGATGTTACACTACTCATTGTAATGTTTTACTAGCTTTTTTACTGATGTTTTAGATTTTAGTAATTCGAGCTGCAAAAGAACAAGGACTTCCTGTTACCTGCGAAGTCTGCCCTCATCATCTTTTCATGACTGTTGACGATATTGAAATCATTGGAGTCAAGAAAGCCAGAGTGAAACCCTCACTGATGACTGCTCGTGATCAGAAAGCATTGTGGGATAACCTAGATATCATTGACTGTTTTGCTACAGATCATGGTAGAATTTTAAAAGTGATTCATGCATGACTTTAGATTTCCAGTACTTTTCTTCAACAAAATTTACTGTTTTGCTAATTATCAGGTTGAAATACCAATAAGTATATCCAAATTAGACTATTTATCTATTAATGTACAGTTTTAAATTGTAATTAACATCAAGTTAAACTTCCTTATTCTCATTCTTCATGAATGCATAATCAGTATGAGCTATTTCATAAGTTGGAGTGTTTATGAACTCTTCTATAAGATAGAAAAGTTTGATGGTTTTTATATAGAACACCATCCTTTGAGAATAATCATTACATATGAAATTCATTGCTATTATGATGTATCTTAAAATCAGCATGCTTCAAAGTAAAAAATATGAAATTTATTTCAGCATTACCTCTGGGTTTTCAGTACAGTGCATATCAGATTTGTTTTCACCAAACTAAAGTCCTTACAGCTGCTAAAAACTATGAATTTTTTTAATATAATTTTCTGTTAAACGAGAAACATTATATAGTTCATGCTTCTAACTAGATTTGTTTTCAGGTTTATTTAAATATTACATTTTATAAGGTTTTAACATTTACATGTTATTTCACAGCACCCCACACCCTGGAAGAAAAAATGAGTGAAAATTCCCCTCCTGGTTTCCCAGGCCTTGAAACAATCTTACCTTTATTACTCACTGCTGTTAATGAAGGTAGACTGACAGTTGATGTGAGTTATTTTTGTTTCTTTTAATAGTTTTGAACAAGCTAAGTGAAAGAGCAGATTAGTGTTATTTATACTTATATTTAGTGGTTAATATAACGTTTATTTTGTTGGTGTAATTATCTTTTCTTAAACTGTACATTTCTCTTTTGGAAGCATGACTGAATGGTAATTTTATGCTGAAATCTGGGACCTGATACCCCACAGTAGACAGAATGCAGATAGTTCAATGTTTTTTTCAGAATTGTTTTTATTATTATTATTATTTTTTGTATTGTGCATTTTATTTTCGACAGAAGTAATTTAGCACACATAAAAGCTTATTCATCAGTAAAGGTTTAAAGTGTATTATATAGCTCCTTTATTATTACAAAATGCTCTTTATTAGGAACTTTGAGAAATGATCTTAATTAAAAGTGTTTTAGTAGGTGTTCATTTGTTTCATGTAAGAAATATCCTTCTTAAAGTTAAAGAAATAAAAAATTCAGTGTTTTACTGAGTTAACTTAATATCATCATGCAGAATGCAAGAAAAAAGCAACCAGCTGTTTTTGAATAAGTAAATAAATGTTTGTGACATAATAAAAAGTGATTCTTTAATTTTACATCTGCTTGCATCACCTTCTAGACATAAAACTGCAATAAATTTGAAAAAAAGAAAAATTGTGTTAATCACATTAATCACAATCTTGACAGAGAATTTAATACATTACTGATTTAACTTTGAGAGCTGGTTTGCATTGAGAGGTAAAAGAAGACCCCAGTTTTTTACAGGGTAAAAACTGACACATATTACATTTGTTAGATGTCTTTTATCAAGCAATTTCAATAGCATGGGATAAAAGTAAAAGTGTATAAAAATTCTTGAAATTTACAGATTGTTTGATGGGAAGTCATTATGTTGAATTATATTTGTAAGTGAATTTGACTGATCATGTGACTTCTTTGTACTCAGTTAAAGTCTTTAAAGATTTAATATTTCTAACTTTCAGTATAGTGTGTATATCTTCACAAAATTTGGCAGTCTTTCACATACAAAAATCATATTTTTCAGTGAAGTATTTTTAATAGAATAAAATAAAGATTTGTCCATTAATATACTAAGTATTTTTTGAATAGTCTGTGTGCAAATTAATTTTCATGTTAAAATTGAAAATACTTTTTCTCATCTCAAAAATATCAAATTTCCTTTGTGTAATCCCTAAAACCTCCTAAATGCATTTCATTCGTTTGTTTCAGTAAAACTTTGTAGTATATCTGTTATTTTTTCTACCCTATCTCAAAACGGGATCGGTCAGTTCAACTGACCTCATAACCATCAAAACCAATAAATCAAAATAGACCTAAATTGCCCATTTTTTATTTCTGGGAATGACTTCAAATTGTAACATGAAACTACATTTGTTTATCCTAAGTAGCTCTAAGTTCGTAACAGTATACAACTATTCATAATTAATTCTATTGCTTTATTGCCCTTTGAACTGTGTCTAACTACTATCTGCTCCATTATAAGTTGTAAATCACTCAGGGAAAGTGCAGCTCACGTTATGGTATTGAATTACATTACCCACAAGCTGCTCGTATGCGTGCCTCATGAACCACTTTAATTATATTATTAATACTTATTTTGCCTAATCTGGTCTTAAATAACTTAAAAAGATCCGTATTTTTAGATTTTAGTTACTTTTATAATAATAAGTAAAGAATAAATATTAAAAACAAGAAATAAAGTACTTACCCAATTTTCTTTTTTTCTT